CTGGTTAATCAACAGTGCGTAGTGTACCAATCGAAATATAACCTGTGTGATACAGGGAGCTATGTTGGTCACACGCATCATCTTCAGTACGCAAGCACTACGACAACGACCACGCATGTGCTGTCCCTGAGGACCTTCTTAGTTGTTTCAAAGTTCTCAAGAAGTGCATGAACAAATTCGATTGTCTTGTCAACGAGATGCTTTACATCAAACAATTAACACCGAGTTTGAACGTGCAAACGGATTCTATCCGTGCTAAAGTATTTGTGTAGCTACCTTCCCTATGCAAATTAGTTGTAACTCTTGACCTCGGATTTGTAAATTTTATTTTCATTTGTACCCTTGATAATTGCGTCATGAAGTCGCCGAAACGTCGGGAAATTATATCGCTCGTTTTTACCTGTCTATGTATAACTAAATCTTTGTTAATAGGATTATTATTATTATTATTATTATTATTATTATTACCATTTAAGCCATGCCAGAGTGCTCAAACTAGAAACTAGTGAGCTTTGCACAATATACATATATATATATTTGACGATCCATTATACATTCATTTTTAAATATAGTATAGATATGCAGAACGCAGAAAGAATATCTGTTTCAAACGATCGACCTTCTCGCCAACCTGCAATTTAAAGTAAATTAAAATCTGTTTCTTACCACTTCTTGGCATCCTAAGTTCCTATATTTACAATGAACTTCAGTTAAAGGACAGTCATCACGAATATGAGCCACCAGCTAAAACAAAAAATTAAAAATACTTAGTCTCGAGTGAGTAGTCAAAGAAATCCTTACTTATGCATAAGAAAAAAATTATTGAGCGCCTCAAAATTACTATTTAGACTTAATAATATACGAATCAGGAAACTGAGTCAGCTACAAAATGTTTAAAAAAGTTTTCTCTATCATTGTAAAGCATTTTCCTTGCCCAGTTTAACTGAGCAAGCTTTCTCGAAGGGAACGTTACTATGTTATGTCACAGATAGTAGATTGTCCCCTACCATGGAGCTACCAAGATTAAACTGAAATTCTGGCAGGCTCAGTCATAGCAGAGAATAACGACCTTGATTTCCTCTGACTGAGGCTAAGAAAATATTAAAAAACAGCATTGCACGTTCTTCGGAGAATTGAGCATGGAACGCCTCCCATTGCTCCTAGAAAACAGGACGACGCCTGTAGTGCATGTTTCATATAAAAGTAGCACTGTCCCACGCGGGCTGGGTGCATGAACTTTCAATTTTACTGTCGTTAGAATTAATAACGACGGTCACTAAGAAAGTTAGATGTTACCTTTTCTCGTGGAATATTCCTCAGACCACAATTGTTAGTACATTGAACTGGAAACTTTTGACAGACCTTATGATGTTGCTAAATAAAATCGTAAAGAAGTCTTTACTACTTAGATTCATGGCATCTTATTGAAATGTGACCAATACAGACATGCCGTACTAACGAAATTGATGGAGTAAAATATTCACATTTTTATATCAGTAAGGCCCAGTTCAAACGTTGAATTTCACATGTGCCGAATTTAACTCCTATTTTAGTGGATTAAAATGGTTATGTTTGGCTGTGATGTTTGGCTGTGTAGCCGCGTGATGCGGTTCCAGTCAATACCCACTAATTGACCCTTTCTCACCATAGAGTCTCCTGTAGCTCAGTGGTTAGAGCATCCGACTAGATCACGGAGGGTCGTGGGTTCAAACCCCATCTGGAAACTCGATTTTTAAAAATTGTTTATTTCATCTTTATAAGAACTGATTGCATAAAAATTTACGAATTAATCGTGTTATTTCCTCAACGTAACCTTCCGTGGACGCGTGATTCGATCGATTCAAAATCAAGCAGAGTTACAAGTAACTGACGTTTGATACAAGACAGTGTTCGGAAGCGGGTACGGTAGCCTCTTGAAAAAGCAGAAGTGTTAATTCGAGTAGAAAAAGGTTTAACGGTGAAATTGTGAACTTAGTAAAAAAAAACACCGACAACCTCAAAAATCGCGACTGAAAAACTTAGATCACGGAGGGTCGAGGGTTCAAATCCCATCTGGAAACTCGATTTTTAAAAATTGTTTATTTCATCTTTAAAATAGTTAAATACGGTATTTGATTCAAACTTCGAATTTAACTCTGTCGAGTTTAACTCTGTTCGCTGTCAATATTCCCAGGCGCACTATCTATTTGGTAGACGAAGACGTGTGTTGAGCGTTTGCTTAATTGCTTTACTGATGCTTTTGTTTTGCTGTTTGTTTTTGCTTCGTCATCTTGGCTTTTCGTCATGATACTTTGACTTGATTCATGTTCCATCATTTCAGTGAAACTCGACCCACAATATGCCATAGATTTTCCTACTTTCCACCCAGGAGTGCCCTCTTCGTTTTCAATAACCGAACACCTCATACAAAAGTAAATTACCGTACGTCAAACAACTATATTTTGTCTTTGCAAAGCAAGAACTACAAATTCTTTCGTCTCCCACCATTTTTTTGTGCTGTTTCGGCTTTTTCGCGCATTGCATTCACAGAATTCCTGGCGAGTTGTGGGTAATAAATGAATCCTAATAATTTCCTATAATTCATGCATTAAGTTCGGCACTTGTGAGATGCGACGTTTGAATCAAAGGTCGAACCTAAGTGGAATCTTCGACTGTTTCATTGGCAGATACGGCGAAAGTCGCATTTAATTTATAACAGTCGAATTTAATTGATTCAAACGTCGCACTTCACATGCTTTTAACTCTCGCATTAAGTTCGGCTCATGTGAAATTCGACGTTTGAACAGGGCCGAATAAGGAATCAAAATTTAAGAACCAAACATTTACGCTCAGCTTTTGTGAGATGTTTCTGTATCACAACATTCTCTCGGCTTAGAAAAAACGTTCACGAGCTCCACAAGATCTTGACTTAATAATGATTGGAAGTCGTCACCACTTTTTCCAGTTTGGGAAAAAAGCAAAAGTTTGGGATGCTGCCCTTCTCGGAGCTATATAAAGAATAGATTTGCATTAACGAACCTGCTTGTTTTTCGCGACAAATGATCCTTGACAATATTCACAACTTTCCTTTCTCCAGATACATTCCTTTATCTTGTGATTGTCCACATCTCGCCTGGTGAGCTTCTCTTTACATCCTGCATTTGGACACTCCACCACTTTGAATAGGCATTCTGGTTGATGTTTCTTAAATCAAAATATATCGCTATCAAACTGCAATCATAAAAGAACCAATGCAATATGCCACGACACACGACATAAAACAGGCTAAAGGAGATTGGGAATATATAATTGAGAGCGAAACAATCGGTCAACTGACGTTTTAGCGACATTTTTAAGATCTAAATAAAAAATGTGAAATTGAGGTGTGACTTGATTATAGGAATTATACGTCTAAAATAAGTATTAAATACTAAAAGAACGTCTATATACTAAATTAAGCACCTATTAAAGGCGATCAGACAAGAAGAACTTGAAACTTTACCCTGCTCTCTCAAACTGCCAACCGTGACACCACAGATTGCAAATACTAAAATAACACCACTGTACAGTCCAGACAGTGACAATTGTACAAGGAACTATCTTGTCGAGCCCTACCAGTAGTCTTTATCTGCTTCCTATAACCTTTTATCTGGTTGCCTTGGTGATTAAGAGTAACAGGAATAAGAGCAACGCTTACTTATTATTTAGGAGACAACTTAAAATATTTGAGAGATTTGTGAAAAAATTGTGGTTGACTGTAGATGATATGATAGAGAATACCTTGATCTTTGATATGACCGACAATCATATTTATACCTGCACAGCACGAAGTTCTCCCGTCCAAGGACACCCTGCATGAGGACATTTCACTGTAAGATCCAGAATTTTACGATGACAAGCGGCATCTGGAAATATCTGTCAACGTAGACACATACATTATAAATATCCAAGGTCAATAAAACTAATATAGCATCAGGTTGCATCGATGTCAAGATAATTATGTTTAAAAGTCATGGTTTTGCACAATTCAGCGATGACGTGAAGGAATTGTAGAAAGGTAGGAACAAAGTGAGATCTTGAGCGGGAAAATAGAAAAAGAAAGCCTGTAGGCTCCTAAATTTGGCTGGAAGTAATAAAATGAACTGGCAGTAGTAAAATGAAATTAAAGTGCAGTTTGAAATGTGAGTTTGATAAGCCATCGGTGATCCAAGAATTCACCGGCCTCTAAGCAGAATTCTAGAGCTAAAATTCTATAGCTGGTGCATATTTTCTTAGTCAGGCATGAGGTCTATAAGCAATATACTCTCCTTGTAATAAACCTTATTCTTCTTTTATGGTATCCTGATTAATTACAGTGAGTGGAACATCGACTCATTAGTTTGCGTGACCTGCAACTAGCAAGGCATACGCTATTGTTACCTTGTCACGCGACAGGGGTTCTCTGTCAATTGGACATTTCGAAGAATGACTCCTGAGGCAAGGGAAAATGCAAAAACAAACAAAGAGTCAAAACCAAAACTTTAAAAATATTTCACCCCATGTTTTATGAGCTTTCATGTATTCGCTTCTGTTTGTCGCTGAGCCATATTCACAATTGCGCGATTAACCCCCTGTGGTAAAATTGCAAATGAAAATACAAATCATTTTAAGGCGATTCAACGTAACCGAAACAAGCTAGAATGATCATATTTTTCGATAAGTTTGTCCGATGTATTAGTGCTTATACATTTGACGACTATATGATAACACAGCTACCAATTATTAGATAAAATGTATTATAGTTCTCTGTCGCTAATCGTATACAGTTCGCGTACAAGTTTTGTCTGACCCAGCAGAATCGGTCCATTTTGCTGTCCGCGCTATAAAGCTAGCCAACAGATAATTACAGCCAAAGAAAACTTATATACCCCTTGGAAAGTCATTCAGCCGGTCAATTCGTTATTCAGCTTTCAAACAAATAAAGCTTTGGTGAAAGCTGATCGTTCTATAACTTGTTACAGCATTCAATAATCCGCCCTTACCTCAACAAGCTCTCTGAGCAGATCTTACAAAGTCTGTGGCCACATCCTATAATCTGTATGGGATCTTTTATTGTTAACTGACACACGGGACATTCAAAATCGTTAGGAACTTCACTTGTAAACTCGAAATCATAGCCGCCCAGCTTTGGAACATTCTGGCCAGCCGCCATTGTGATTTAAATTTCAGAACGAAAGCGGAAGCGCATAATTAGTCTTGCGTGACGACTAAGCCATTAAGCCACATAAATTCACTTAATTAAGTTAATTCGCTTAAATTAATTAACAAGTTAGTGAACAATAACAGAGGCGGGGAATGGAAGAGCACTGCATAAAACCAATGTGTACTGAGTGCCGACTGGCTCAGCGTGCAGAATCGAGGGGATACAGGAGAACGAAAATTTTCCAAAGACAACGAATTAAGAAAATGCATAGAATGTTAAGCTCGGGAGTTTAGTGTGCAATATTAACTGCTAAACAAGCTTCTAAAGACCTGCACGAACCTTACAAGGATTGAAAGTAAGTGGATTTGAAACGGGCATTTAGGTTTGTACTATGAAAAGGATGAGTCTTTCACTCTCCTAATCACTGTCTGCTATAAACAACTGTCTGCTAATAAACAACAACATTAAAGCAACCCTCGAATACGACTTCATGTGAGATTTGCAAATGAAGACATGTATGAGCTGCAGAACTCCTACTAAAGTATTGTTATAAATTTCTCTTCCCTTTCCTTTCCTTTCCTTTGGCGCCGGAAAGCTTTGAATATGAATTAATTTCTTAAACAGCAATTATTTTTAATAGTATACTTCACTGCCTGTCTCACTTCTCGAATTTTCCAGTAATAATAAAAGAATCGGGTTTAGGGACGAGTTTAAATAAATGAAGATTGTTAGGTGTGAGTAAACAAAGCCTCCACTACTCCGTTAACCCTTTGAATACGAAAAAGACCATATTTTTTCAGTTGCAATTTGGCGATACAAACTTAACCTCACTTTGTTGGTCCTTATATGGAGCATCCGTTACAATATTTGCGGTTTTGAGACACCATGGGCTCAGACCTTGGGATCACATGACCTAGATCAACAGTTTGTGTTTGGATGCGTTCAAATCGATTCGATTTCTCGCTTTTCTAGCCGTTTATAAGTGTTTTTCGAGCCATTTTCCCTCTACAGAAGCCCTCATGACGGCATCATTAAGCTAGAATGTGGGTAGAGGTAAGCCTCTGAAGGAAAACAGAGGTGAGAGATGGTTTCATGTAGACTGGACCGCCAACGATGCTTTACTGCCAGCTTGGCGAGTTCACAAGGGAAGTTGTCTCTCGGGCCCATCTGTGGATGGCTTCCAGGACCTACCAAGGCTATGTGGCCAAGTTTTGACCGGTAAAAATTTCAATCGATGCGAAATTTTGCTGGTAGGACTGGATGGCCCGACACGATTCTAATAATTCTTTGAAATGGAAATGATAGAAGTTGCCTTTTCGAGTTATGGCGGAATTACCCAGAATTCTTTTCGGGCATGAACAAGGCAACGGTTGTGTTCGCGACACTGGCTTTCATCAAATGGAGAAACAAGGGCTGGCAGATAAAGTGAGAAGCAATTTTCTTGCCAAACTGCAAGATCTGGCCCTGAGGTGTGATTTGAACGCAAACTTTTGATTTTTTTAGCATTTTTTGTCTTAAAAAAGATCGACATGCTTTTGGTGCTGCTCTTGGAGCAAAATGCTGGACTTTAGGATTTGTTGCCATAAGAACGGTTCACTGCAATGAAAATCAGGAATCATTGTAGGCGTTTTAGGTTGCAATAGGTATCACATCATCTAGCCGGCACAATTTACACACTTACATAACGTTGTGTCTTAAGTTCAACAAGAAACAAGTATCAAAAGTAGTAAAGGTATTATCTGGAAATGTGTTCACTTAGTATGCAAAGGGTTAAGCAGATAGCAAGCGACTAAAGGCAACTGCAGCCACAATGCACCGGCCACTGCCTTCCTGTATCGCGACACGTTCAGTAGCAGTTTCATGAGGAATTTTTGGTTATGTTGATCATATTGTAGATGAAGTCCAGCAGTGTGTACCTGCGTTTGATGATGACGAGGAGTGAAGAAGATCCGAGTACTGACAGAAGACGGATATCAATAAGCAAAGAGGAATCGCAACATAGCTGCACCATAATTAGTCTCCCTCGCAGCCGTTTTTTTTGGATGTCACGCAACGCTCCCCCAAAAGAACGGCTGCTGACAACCGAACTACATTCCTTTCTCATTGTCCTTGCGGTTTGGTCGCGGTCTATTGAACAGACCAATCACATACCAGAAAATCTGGTATGTGACGTAAGGTTTCACGCGAAAATGTGGATGTTGGGAGAAACACTGAAGAAATTTGTCAATGAGAGCTCGAAATGTTTCACATGTTCATCGTTGTGCCCTGGTAAAGATAGAGTGTATATCTTTGGGAAAACTTCTCACAATTTCGTTGAAATTATAGAATCTACGCTTAACATAGACGTCAACTGCTACGCCAACGACACGAACGCTAGATTGTTTGAGCGGTTGTTAAAGTTTCAGCGAGCAACTGAGAAAGTAGAAGAAGCTAAAAACTGAACTGAAACTCTTTATTCGCACTATTTCAAGAGGTTACTACAGATTATAAAAGTCAGAATATATAAGAAACAGTAAATTACATCAATAATCAAAAGGAAATACAAGACGCCTTTCAATCTGGGCCAAGGGCTAAACGCTTGCTTCGACCTACAGATGGAGATCAGGAGGAAGAAAGCGCGTGCTTGCTGTCAACAAACCGGGCGAAGCTTCGAGAACACTGCAATTTAGGTCGGCCAACGTCTCCTACACTACTTGTACTTCTTCATTTGCCAGTCCGCTGCTGGCTGAAACGAACCCGATTAGTTATGTTCGTGGCTTCTTATCGCCGGTACAGGAAATCGGCCCGAATTATCGAGTGTTTCCGCACGTTGGTACAACGCAACAACAATAACAATAATATGACCACTTTCATCGGTAACATGGTCAAACACCAGTGGGAGTGCTTGATATCTTAACGATTTCCCGGATCCTGTAGGCAACTTAACTAAACCATCTTCTTTCTCGACTAAAAATTTTTTAATTGTAAGCTTCTGGTGAGCTTTAAGCTCGAAAATTTTGAACTTTGACGACGCTTGGCGAAACGCTCTTTTAAGCACCGCCATTTGTCTTGTGTTTTCCACATGAGGATCGCGATAGAAAACGATGTCTGATTGGACGAGTCTCAAAAAGTAACTATGGCGCGAAAAGATTCCTGAAAATAGAACCCGAGCTGTGATTGGCCAATTCGGAGAAAGGAATAGTTCGGTTGTCAGCAGCCGTTGTTTTGGGGGAGCGTTGCGTGACATCCAAAAAAAAACGGCTGCGAGGGAGACTACACTATAATGAGATCAGATAATTCCAAAAACACATCGCAGAATTAAGAACGCATACAAACCAAATCATCACTGTGGCAACAACTGTATGCTTTAAAGAGACAACTAGCTTGTATTTTATTCCCAATGACAAGGTGAGAAGTCTGTCCACGCTGATTGCAGTCATCGTAACAAGTGAAACCGAACTCAAACTATACCCTACCAGTGAGATGCGGCATTTTATGTCCCACGGTTCGTTTACAGGTGACAACCATTGAGAAACAGTCACAGGTTGTGCTAGTAGTCCGAAGCAAAGACCAGTTACTGATAGGTAACAGAGCAGCATTTTGGACGGCGGATGAAGGGAAGATTCTTTGCGAAGATCGATGAGGATAAGCGAATTCAACAGAGTTGTACTAAGTGACAGCAGGATATTGAAGACCGGCGGAAATATTAGATGGTAGTGTATTTCGCCATTGATATCTTTCGAGCAGAACAAGTCCAGTGATTTTTGATCGTCCTGTCCGAAACTATAGTTTTGTGTTTCTGTTTTTTATTTTTATAATTGTATAATCTATCAGTATTAGCCACTTCATGTGAAATGTCAAACATGCACGAGAGTCATTCATGCGCCATTTCCCGATAATTAGCATAACACGTGCTCTTCACCTTTACGACTTCAGCAGGTTAAATAATTTAAAAATTATTTATTTGCCGTTATTATATAATGATGAGTAGATGGTTTTAAGCGTTTCCAAAAGATGATATTTCGTCAGTATTTTTAGCTTTCGATGGTCGTTAACAACTCTACTAATAAATGTGAAGCACAGCTCTGCATCTAAAAATATAGAAGAAAATTATCTTTATTTCGGAGATGGTTGGCTACACTTTGAAGATAGGATCCATATGGTGAAAGTGAAATTATCTATTTGTGTTGACAAAATTTATAATTAGTCGGCGAAAACGTCGTCCGCCCGGAATATTCTTATGTGAGTATTGTATAAATTTTTCATACTTATTTCTCTCGATCCTAATATTGATCGACTGCATTTACACCGAAGCGTCCACGTCTTGTAAGTAAACGTTTTGTTGAAAAGAGCCTTTCACTCCGAACATTCCGCTAACGACGGGAGGAAATAAGTGAAACAGTTTGCGCTTAAGAAGTATTGAAATGCGTGCGTGGTAAAACCCGGCCGTAAAGAGATAGTGCAATACAACTTATTTAAGTCTCTGTCTCTGTTATCACGAACCAATCAATTCATCCACTTATTGAAATAATATACGGGAGAATAGTTTCGCTTCCATTATCTTCATACTGCAAGATTTCTCGTCTATGTGGATGTTTCAGCCGTTTTTTTTTTTTTTTTTTTCTATCAAAGATGTAGCCTGGTCGGATGAAACACCAAAAGTAAGTAGTGACACTAATATCAAGATCCTTTGGAACGGCTCTAAAGCTAAACTTATCTCGAGATCCTTCGGAAGGTTTTTCCAAAACGCTCTGCTCCCAAATTATATAACACTATACAATGACTACTAATTGCTGACAAGATTATTTGGCAAAGAATGTCACCAAGTCGCAAACGTTGCGCGACATCAACAAAAGCTAT